AAGCTGGATTATGAGAAGGGATCAGTATTAGCGTAAGAAATGCTATTTGTGTTACTTACTCTGCAACAAAGAGCCTGGAAGGCACTGACCAACTCCTGGCTAGGACTGTGAGTACCTGGGCTATAAGGATCATCACCTTGTGATGAACCCCAGGCCCATGGAGAACTCCTCCAGGATGGAAGAATATGGAGGCTGGGGGTAAAATGGACTCCCTGGTGCAAATCTAAATGTCAAACATGCATGCAGGAGGGGGAGTTTACACCTAACCCAAAGCCCCATCTTGCCAGCTGCTCTGACTTTTGGCAGGAAACCGTTATAGTTACACAGGGCACCTTCCGAGGGGCCCGTATATGGGGCCATCTTGCATTCCTTAAGAATTATATCTTTGTGTTTTCTAAGCAAAGTCTGTTGGGATGATGGAGGGTGTGCCTGGGGCTTGGAGTCTCGGCTCCTATGGGGCCCCTTCTTCCCCATCTCCCCAGGTCAGGTTTTGGGCAACCACTCCCCAGGCTGCCCTCCAACTTGCTGCTGCCCTCTGCTCCAGTGGCCTGGGCATGGGGAGGGTCACCATCAGGCATGCAACCTTGTGCCACATTGCACTGCAGGACCAAAGCCCCCAAGAGGGTCTGCTGCCAAAGGACTGACATTGAATAGCAAATGTAAAACACTATGACCAGCAGAGACAGAGAGGAGCCAGACTTTTGTCTGATTTTAAGCAAAAGCCCCTGCATTTTTATTTTGTATTAACTCCCAAAATAATATAGGCAGTCCTAGCTGGAGAGTACCTCCAAATTCCAGACTCAGGGCTGGTGGGAGCTGCTTATGAGTTGTAAGGACTGGGATGGGATCTCAGCCAGCTGCACAGAAGCCGTGGCATAGGACACAGAACTTGACCCAAGCGGTTTGTGTGAAGGTAGCTGTAGGACAGTCAAGCATATGAAGTAGAAACATTCTGGGACTGAGGTAGCTGTTGAAATGTCAGAAAACCCAACTCAGTTACAAAACCACCCTCAAATCCAGGAATGTATCAAGACATGTATTGCTAATTCTACAATGTTCTCAGCATCATAGTTTAACTGTAAGTTCACTTAGCATGAGTGGAACATCCTGCTCGGTGACATTTAATAAAGCATCCTTAATTTTCAAAAATCATCTTCAGCATGGGCTAGGTGGCTCAGTTAGTTGGAGCATCATCCATACACCAAAAGGTTGTGAGTTCAATCCCTGGTCAGGACACATACCTAGGCTGCCAGTTTGATCCCTGGTAGGAGTGCATAAGGGAGGCAGTCTATTGATGTTTCTTTCTTCTTTCCCTTCTCTCAAAAATCAATAAAAAACATGTGCTTGGCTGATGATTTAAAAAAAAGCATACTCAATCAAATCCCAGGTAGCATTTGCTAAAACCAGTAGTAAGAAGGAGAGCAGCAGGAGAGATGAAAATGACTTCAATTTTGAACAGAAATCTGAAAGGGGAATGTTACATGTTGTCTATGCAATAAGGTACTGCAGTGTTGATTGTCCTCACCATCAAGGTCCTCAGTGCAAAGAAAGTAAGCTGCAGAGCACTCTACTTCCTGAACTGGGAAGCCCAAATTCTAGAAAGGGCTTAAAAAATGCTGTAAGTGCAAAGGAAAGTCAAATTTTCTGTGTACAAGTTCTATTATTGAATGGGGCAGTTCAAACCAACTTGGCTTCAGGTTTTTCTCTCCCAGTCACCACCCCTCCAATGTATCTCACCCCTGTGAAATCACAGTCGAATCACATCTTAGCTTCAGCAATAAAACAACTTTTTCATTTGGCTTTGATCCCAGGAAAACTTGGAATCCAGGTATCACCCAAGATGACCTTGCTGGGCCCTGGGAGGGAAGTGGCTGAATGCATTTCTATGTGCTCACTTTTATGTCAGAGCACATACTTAAACCCTGAATGTGCCCTGGCCTAATGTCTAGTAGGGGATGTTCAGTCCCTCCAAGGCAAGCGTGGAGGGCAGGGGAAAAAAGAATTCTGTAAGTTAAAGAACATTTCCACAACCATAGAAACATTACATGTGGTTTGAAAACTGTTAACAGAAACTAAGAGTGCCAAAGAGCACAACTAGAGACCAGCCAATTTTAATAAAAACAGACTAACATTTGTTGAGTACTTTTGTTCATGTATTTCATATTCAATGCCTCCTAGGAGACAAGCACTGTTTCAGGAGATTTACTGGTGAGGATCAAGGTTCTCCTCTCTTGGAGGTCACGTTTTAACTTAATGGAGTTCACATTTTATGCACATTTAGAGAAGTCTGAGCCAGATCTCTGTTTTTGACAATGGATTGTTCACAATCCTACTTAAAAATTAATTAAAAGCTCAAACTCCATTTTGGCCTGCTGAAGTTACTGTTCTTTTCAAATGAATTACAGAAAATCAAGAAATGAGTTAAGTGACATTTCCCATTAAGTATGTTAACACTGAAAGCATTCAGAGTAAATTAATTCCTCTAGGTGAATAACACCAGAAAATGGAAATAACAAACAACACCTGAAATAACAAACAAAAAAAGAACTTAACATGATGATACATGTGAAATCACTATGCATGTTTGTAACAGGGCAACAGGTGACAGCTTTAGGACTTGAACTTATTTTCCATTAAAATCCTATAATGAGTGTTAGGGAAAGTTACCAAAACAACATAATTGACCACAAGTACTTTAAAGCCCAAGTAGATTTGGTAGTCACTGAGGTGGCAGACTCTCCTCTCCTTGTAGGCCTGTGGGAGACTGAAGGTTCCAGCCTCTTTGCAATTAGGTGAGTAGAAGGCAAGTGTGTCACTTTTGTAATGGACTGTTTATTGCTGGCAGGATACTCCAGGGTCCCCTTTTCCTGCCCTAAGAGTGGGACACATGGAGCAGAGCCCTCAGCTGACCTGTGATGCACACAGACGTGAATAAAAATAAACCTCTGTTTTAAATCACTGAGGTTCTGGAGTTGGTTGTCACTACAGCATAATCCAACTCTTTCTGACTAATTCACTTTTTAGGGAGTCATGGCTTTCTTATAATCCAGATTACATTATCTTTAGCAGTTCTTCCATTTTTATCAAAATAACATCTAATGCATTATGAGTTTATCAATATAAGGACTATTGAATCATGGCCTAAAGTCCATGAAATATGAGAAGTTGCAGAAACCAAATATAATACTTGAAATCAAGTAGAAAAATAAATGATCTTCAAACTAGTCATACGTGCAGAAATATGTCTATCCAAATCAGGCTAAAAAGTTGAAAGAGGTTATTTAAAAAAAGCAAACAACAAAACCCTCAAAACTGCACAGGATAAAGTTCTTAAAATGCCTGAAAGATATGTGGTCCATTGTTTGACCCCAAAGCCTGAGCTGTAAGGTACAGGCTTGCTGTCCTCCACTGACACAGGACAAGAACCAAAGAAAAGGCCCAAGTTTGTTCATATGTGGCACATGAAGAATCATCCTACAACTACTGAATATTTAGCAAAGTCTGCATCTTAGTCTCTGAACTCTAACTGTATTGTAGTCGTCAAAGTATTTCTGGCCTACCCAAGATGGCAAATTTATTCCCCTTACCTGGGTAAGTCAGGTGATCCATCCTTGGTAGATGTAGAGATAAGTATTTCATACTGACAAAGTCAACACCATGGTGATCACACTTTCTGTTAGGCTAGAAATAAATTTTGTAATTAAAGTGATAGTCTGATATGTTTGTATTTAAGGTTCTTGAAACATTCAACATAATCTGACATATTAACCTTCTTATTTTCATTTTAAATATTTAATTGTGACTAATTTGAGAATTTGAGTTCACAAACAGTACTTGAAAATCTGGACACTTCATTTACGGTATGTAGTTTAATTTATTAGCTTTACAAGTTAGTTAAGTGTTTGCAAAGATTTTGAATGTTTTAGGACTGCCCTAATTAGGCCCCTTGAAACTTTTGGGGAATCAGATACTGAAAAAAATTGCAAATATAATTTAAAATGTTTAAGCCTTAAACTCTAAGGAAATTTAGTTAGCATAGTTTGTAAGGTGTAGCTAATTATTTAGGGAAACTTTATTTAGTGCCTTTGAATGTTACTTTAAAGCCCTATAAGTTCCTCCTAGGCACAAAGTTCTCTTGGCCATTAAAAAAATTTTTTTAAAAAGAATCTTAAATAGAAGAAATGTGCTCTCCTTTTCAAAATTATTTGCTTCAGTCCTTTTTTCTTTCAATACATTTTTAATGTCCTTAAATTTAATGGCAAATTAAAGTCAATACTGAGCCTTTTATTGGTATAGCCTAATAAAACAATGGGAGGGGGTAGAGGTAGATGGGTTTGTTTGTAATTCCTAGCTGTCTCATCTCAATGCTACAGAATACCAGGAAGAACATGGAGCGCACTCAGAACACTCCAAAGTGTCCTGAAAGAAATGCAAAATTGCATTATGTCCGAGAGCCATTCCTTCCCCTACTTTAACCTCTACGTGATCCTCCAACTTCTAAAAGTCCAGCTTTAAATCATGTTAACTCCCATTCTATGCAAAACATGGACATTATATAGCAGGCATTAAAAAATATGATTAATTATAAGTAAATCCACAGGTAATTAAGGTGCTAAGTATGCTTAAATGCAGAACAATGCCATATCACATTAGTTTCCTTAGCCTTCTAAACATGTATTTTTACCTTACTTAATCTCAATGAAAGAATTACTTCTTTCAGAAGATGTAGTAAAGGCATCCATCTCACCAAGTAGCAGATAGTGCAGGATTATAGTAACTGGATAATCTGTGTCTTAAAACGCCCAAATAGTTTAAAGTAATTCCCAAAGGTACTTAACTTTAACTCCCACAAGGCAGAATATACAACTTCATAGACAAATATTGTTTTGTAAAATATAGTTGGAATCATATAAATGAGACTGTGTCCTTGAAAAAAAGGAAATAAACAAGCAAAGCAAAATGAACAATAAGAAATATTCATATTTATATAGATTCAATTTTATTTTCATAATTATCCCACAGAACCAATAATCTGCATTTCCATAACAACACATATAATATTCTACTCATCAAAGAGCTGGAAAAAGTAGGAATAAAGCACAAATACCATACTCTGCATATATACAAATAAATTTAATATATTAAATATATTTTGTAGGCTGACTGTACTTACAGTATAATAGAACATTGAATATTAGATTCTGAGCATATTCATGCAGACTTCCACTTTGGTGAAAGTAATGACAATGTTTCCTTTTGTAAACACAAGTTTTCCACTCTGACTATTCTCTGAAAATAAAGACTTGTAGGTGGAAAAATTCAATGCATAAATGTGGAACCAATGCTTTTTACCCAACACCATGCTGAATAACCCTGGCATCCACAAGTCCATCTATTAGTTCTTAAATGTGAGCAGGGAGGGTGGCAAGAGGGTGCACTTGTACAACTTTTATGTTGTTGAAGACTCACTTGCATTGCTGCTACAGAATGCACTGAATCATTTCTTGTTTTTGTCTAATATGTAAGAAAAGAGTGAAAGTTAAAAAAAAAATTTCCAAGGCTGCAATGGATAATATGATCTGTAAACAAATAGTGTAAATTATCTCGTAAGTGCTGCTAGGTCTGTTTAACCAGACTGTTAATTAGCTCAAATGAGCATTAATATAAGACTCTGGAAGTTTCTCCCTAGATCTAAAGGGTACAACAGCAATGATAGTATCTTTGAAATATTAATATGTCATTAAATACAACTGCCTAAATACAGCTTTAGTAAGACTGTAAAAGTTAATCTCCAAACAATTACTGAAATGTAGCTGCTACCCACTAAATTATGCAAGCAATTTAAGGAATTAAAACATCAAATTTATTACTGCTTGAATCAGACCTCCTATAAAAATTTTTATCGTAACATCCACCCACCCCAAGCACACAAATGAGAATGTTACGCTGTCTAAGCTCTCCAACAGAACCATCTGTGACTAAAGCCACTTGTGATGATCCCCCTTAGTGTTTTCAGGAAGTCTAGCAAAGGTGAGCACACTCAGCTTGCAACAGGTAGGGCTCTATGAGGAGAGGGACAGGGCGCAAACAGGACACTGCTCTAGGCTGCATCTGCCTGCAGAATGCACACTGCTGGTGTTTATAGCCTCTTTCAAATTAATAGATTAGGAGATAAATCTAAGCCACACAGGGTGAAAAAGGACTGCTTCAAAATAACCTTTTAGGTAATACCTATAAAGAATCAAAATATTGGCAGCACAGTACTTTAAGTGTAAATACTTCAAAACAATTCTCTCATTTCAGCTAAAATTTGGTGGTATACAGCATTTCCCGTGACATGTGACTGGCCTGTTATAACTCTAAATGAATCAAATTATTTTGGAGGGAAAAAAGGGTATATATAAATTGATGGAAGCATTACCTCTTTGTTAGAATGCATAAAAAGCCCCACAATAGTTCCCGCTTAGTCAACAGCCATGTGGGTTTGGAGACAGTCACTATGTGGGTGTTGTGGGGGGGAGGTGTGAGAGAGAGAGAGAGGGAAATACCCATATTTGAGAGAACTGAAGACATTTACAGAATCACTTCCATATGCTACCTTCATATGCATCTTTTATTGGGCTAAATAATATTGTAAAGATCAAAATAGCTTCCTATCCCCAATCTTGCCTCTGAAAAAATTTAATAATTTAAATGTAGCTGATATTATGGGGAATAAATTTCCTCTTCAAAACGTAACAAATGTTTACAATATTATTTTGTTTAACTAGTAAGCCTTTAATTTTAGCAGCAATTATCAAATAAAATGCAAATAAAATCCTCAAACAAAAAATTACAGGAAAAAGAATATGTCTATGTCCCTTTTCCTTGGAACGTAATTTGTCTAGAATTTGGCTTGCAAACTTCAAAATCAATTGTATTAAAATGTGACAGTACTTTTTTTTGTTAATTCCTTCTGATGTCTTTGGAAAGAAAAAGATGTTTCACAAGTAGTGGGTACAATGGGTAATTTGGGGAAATGATAACTAAAAAATTAGTCTTTATTAGCATTCAAAGCCATGAGTGCAATGAAGTCTGGATACCCTTTAGACAAGTTCCAAGTCCATGAATGGCATGTCAGGATTTTCCCCTTTCTGTAAAGCCTAGCATAGCCCTGCCGCATATTCATCTTCGTCTTCCTCAGCAGCGGCGGCAGTAGTGCCTTCAGGCTTGGTCTGTGGTGTTGCTGCTGCTTTCTTCTTGATTCCCCCTCCTGGAACCACCAAACTCAGGCCCAGCTTAGCATACTGTCAAACAAAACATGTTCTCAAAAGCTGGATAACTACAATCTCTGTATGTAATACCTCAACAAAAGGCAGATCCTACCTCTCTACCTCATGACAACTAATACTAGTTATGGAAAAACACCCACAACAAAACTCAACATTGCTCTGCATTCAATAGCCCATGAGCATAATGTGACAGGTACACAAGTAGCAAAAATGTCAAATTATAGGCCACACTTAGGAACCTGAGATAATCGGAACATAATAAGTTAAGTAACACTTATAGTTCCTATAAAATAAAGATCTGCTGAGTGAATGAAGACTGTAAGCTACAGACAATTTCTTAAAAAATACATAGAAATTTACAAAATCCTAAGAATTTATCAAGGCAAAAAATGGTTCCTCTATATACATTGTGATTTAAAAAAAAAATTAAGATCTTAAACTAATCTGATGCCATAAGACTAAAGTTGCAAGACCAAATCAAATAAATTTGTGCTCACAAACCTACTGAAAAGTGAAATCTGAAAGAAGAGAAACCCACTGTTGCAGCCCACTTTCTGTATATGGCAGAGCGTGAGGCTGTTTTGTGAGCACAGACTAATCTACTCTTCACAACAGGCTGGCAAGACAGTAACCATTTCTCCAGATGAGTTAACTGAGGCTTAGAAGCAATTAGTTAATAACCTGCATCACACAGTTAGCTGTCACAGAAGTGGAATTCCAACAAGTCTATTGAACTACAATGGCCACTACATGATGGGTCTGTTTCAGACAGTGAGAATAATAGAAACTTAATAAACTAAGCAACATATAGAGGTCAGAAAGTGAAAGAAACTAGAAAAATGGGGCTAAATTAAAAAATACACATATGGCCCTGGCTGGTATGGAGCAGTGGACTGAGCACCAGCCTGTCAACCAACAGGGCACTGGTATGATTCCCAGTCAGGGCGCATGCCTGTGTCGTGGGCCAGGTCCCCAGTAGGGAGTGCATGAGAAGCAACCACGCATTGATGTTTCTCTCCCTTTCTCCCTCTCTTCCCCTCTGTCTATAAATAAATAAATAAATAATCTTTAAGAACATTTAAAAATACACATATGGTCCACACAGATGAATAAGTAACTGGCTGTAAACCTACATGGTTGACATTCAAACAACCTAAACCTATAATAAAATTCAGTGCAAAATGCTAACGTCCTTTCAGAGAAATATCTTGAGATCAAAACCAGAGGAAGAAAAGTAACCCACAAGTCCACAAGAAAGATAATCTCATAATAAGCCTCTTCCACTCAAGAAGAAAGAAGAAAGCTAACCAAAAGGCCACTTACATCATTGTCCATGTATTTGAAAAGGGGCGAGTTGCAGACCTCTGACACTTGATCTTGGTCTTGCTGGTCATATCCTTCAAGAAGCTGTTCCAGCGCAGCACAATCTTCACTCCCATTAAACCCTGGAATGCTATAGGAAGCACAAGTCACACATCTCCACCAACTCCTTCTCAACCAGTGATGAATTTGCACCCCCTCCCCAGCAGAGGTTTGCCAGTATCTGGAGATGTTTTTAACTGTTACAATCCTGTAGAGGTCCAAGATGAGACTAGACACCCTACAGAGCATAGGACAGGCCCAAAAACAAAGTATTAACGCAGCCCAAAACGTCAACAATGCCCAGGTTGGGAATGCTCATTGTAAACACCCCATACAAGAAGATCCCTTATTCAGATCTTCCTGTAGCATACATTCTGAGAACTTTTCTTTTTTGTTATTCTTTTTTTCTTAGAAGGCAAACATAACAAAATCATTCAAGTCATTCACTTCCATGGCGGTCCCCAGGAGAAAAATACAAGAAAGAACATTACTTGTAGACATCCTGCTGTAAAAGCGGAAACAGTGGTCAAGTGTTCCTGTCACAATGAAGTTAATTTTTTTAAAAAACGAACCAGCTTCATAGCCAGGATTATTTATCTAAGCAGTAATCTCAAATTAATAGAAATGTTAACACTGCAAGTCAAGACAGTGCTATCAGCGTCTTACCTGTAGCTCTCCCTGACACATCTTTCGGCAGCCACGTAGTCATTTCTGTGGAGATGAACTAAGACTTGAGCAATTGTTTTCTAAAACAAAAGAGACGATTAGGGTCCAAATTTATATCTACTTAATAAAGTAAATTTCCTGACATCAGGAACTTAGCTTTCAGAGTTCTGGTTTTATACAGGAAGATCTATAAAATTCTGCAGTAATTCTCATATGACATCTGAGGTAAATATCTTGAAATAGTACATCTCAAACTCTAATGTAGAGCCTACCCAGGGATCTTCTTAAAATGCAGACTTTGAGTCAGTGCGCCCAAAGCAAGCCCAAGATCCTGCTATTTGTAACATGCTCCCAGATGGTCCTCCATACTGCTAGTGTGAGGCCCACAGAGAGTAACAGAGCCTTAGACAACCACCACACATTTTAAAGAAAATTTATTTTAAGTACCTATATGTGTAGGTTTAATCTTGAAAAGGGAATAAAATAGGAAGGCAAAACTCTAGAATTATAGTTTGCTGTTCTTAAAAGAGATACTAGGAAAAACCAGAATGAATGAAAACTTTAGATAACAGAACAATGATACTATTTATAAGCCAGTAAAAGCACTAATGAGATCAAAGGTGTTGCTAATAAGATATTATGAGCAAAACAGCTATTCAATCTTTATTATCTCTATCTTTCAGGTAACTTTTATTGATCTATCTTCAAGTTCCCTGACCCTTCTCATCTCCATTATCACATTAAGCCCATCTAGTATTTTATTTTGGGTATTGCTCTTTCAGTTGTAATATTCTTATTTAGTTCATTTTTATAGTTTCTGTTTTAAAAAACTTGCCCTCCATTCATTCACCTGTTTTATCTTTGCCTCGTGCAGCACTTAGGATAGCTGCTTCAAAGTCCTGATCTGATCTTTCCAACACTTGGGTTACCTCTGGGGTGGCACCAGTTGTCTTTTCTCTTGAAAACTGGCCATGTTTTCCTGGTTTTTCCTATGTTCACTATCTTGGGGCAGCATCCTGCACCCTGTGAATGTTATGCTGCATAGACTGTCCTCTAATTCTCAGGAAAGTTGGGTGTTTCCAGCAGGCAGTCATCCTAGTCAGGCTCAGACTGCTTGTTTTGTCTGCTGTTGCTGGTAGTGGCTCTAGTCTTAGTTCAGTCCCTCTGTTCTGCTGCTCGGGTTCTGTCCTACACCAGAGCCCGGCAAGGGTGCTATGAGCCCTGGACAGCAGTTTGCTCTTACTGCAGTTCTCAAAGCCCATGCTCTGCCTCGGGGTCTGTTCTGCACATGCACAGCTGGACAGTAACACTAAGACTTGTGTGGGCCCATACACACACAGAAAGGGGATTCCCTATTCCAGCTCTGCTTTCTGGGGTTTTCTCCTTGCTCTCTTAGCTCCTCTTCCCAGTTCCTCTGGCCAAAGAGGCTAGGTTTCCACTGGCATTTTAACTGCCTTTGCTACTACCACAGCTATAGCCCCACGACTAGGGCTTCCCCACAGAGCAAAGTCAAGGGAAGAAAAAAGAGAGGAAAGCAGCAGGGTCTCTTTTCCCAGTTCCTCTGGTGAGAAAGATGAGGTAGATGGGTTCTTTAGGAGTTTTAGCTGCTGGAGCCTGTGCTTCTCTTAAGTCAATGCCATGAGGGGAACAGGGAAAAATCCTGGAAACCTGCTGCTATATTGGTTCCTTCTCCAAGTGTTTACTCCCCTCCATTATCCTGCTCCGCTTTTCAAGTAATTGTATTTTGTCTGGAAGTGTTAGTTGTAATCAACAAGAGGGATAGGCTACAGTGAATGGACTTACTCCAGTCTGGCAAAAACCGGAGACCCAGAAAGCATTATTTAAAAAAATTTACAACTATCCATGAAATCTGGTTATAGGTACATATTTATGCCAATGCGAAAAATAATCTAATGTAAAGCCAAAAATAAGCACTTTCAAAACATACCTTATAACAAGTTGGATAATTCTCAATTTCCTTATAAATATTTTTTTCTTTCTGAATAGAGAGTGCCGCCTCATCAAACCTAAAGACAAAACAAAGAAATGTAAAAGAAAGCAGGTCCAAATGATCTACGACAGAGGTCATTATTGTAACATATTTAATATTACACTTTTTTAGAAAATTAAAGAAAATACCAGGTATTTTAGCAACTGCTCCACAATCCATGTTCCCATGAGCTTTGCTCATATGTCCTGTCTTTTAAATGCTCAACTTGCCTTTTTGGCATCAAACAGACAGACAAAAGCAATAGAATTTATGGATAGGTTACTTTGAATGGAGAGGTTTAAGTCTGGTAAAGGGTTGTTCATTAATCAGTATCTTCCAAATTCAACAAACCGCTTTGTGAGTGTATACAGAATGTATGAGAGACAAACCCTCAATTTAAATACCACAGATTTATTTCCTTCCATTAAAAGGCCATCCAATGCCCTGCAAGAACTGCCTCCCACTAAAGAATTACTTCTCCCACTCTGTCCTCACTGTTACATGCTCACCACTTCCTCAGTGAACCCTAACAGCACCTGGTGCCGAAAAGGGCAGCAGTGAAGGGCACACAGAGCGAGGCTAGAAAAGTCCTTCCTGCTGCCTTGGATCCTCTATGTTCATCTTTTTCTGTCTCCTCTCGCACACTTTCCTTTTCTTCCATCCCACTCAGATGACAGCATGAAGAGGAAAGGATCACCAAAAACCTTCCTATGATCCTCCAAGGCCCTACCTCTTTCTTGTCTCCCCAACCCTAATCCCATCAAACCCTAGTCAGACCACCATCTCCCAATAAAGTGATATTATACTGGGGTTGGCAAAAGTAGGTTTACAGTTGTGAGAACATGTAAGAGTTTATTCTTGTATTATTATTTATTAATGATGATTATTTATTTGTATTCTTTGTCTTATTATTGTTGTTATTTCAAGAGCAAGCATTCCGCACTGGTAGGATATAGAGAAAGAAAGGTGTTGCTGTGACTCAAATTAAAAATACAAACATGTTTGACTATATTTTTCTGAATTATTATTTTAAAAAATATTTGCATTAAAAATACAAATAGTGTCTTAGTTTAACTCAATTATGAATTAATTTGAATTTTTGTGGACTATGTGCCCTGTCAACTTACTGCCCCATAAAATAAGACTCACTGGAGAAATGCATTATGAATATCCAAAGATCAACTTGCTAATCTGTAGGAACGAGATTGAATTATAAGTTGGGCATCGGAGCAGAATTCTGAGACTGTCCACCAAGATTCTCACTCATCATATACACTCCCCGTATAACCTCCCCTTGAAAGTGGGTATGACTTCTGAATATGATGAGGTATCACTCCTGTGTGAATTCTGAACAACTGACTATGAATGGATGAAAGAAAGACAGTCCGGATGGGCCTGACTTAATCAGTAAGCCCTTAAAAAGTTAGAGAATGCATGCCCAGCAAGCCATGCTCTTGCCAACCTTAAACAGTAGCAAGATACCATGCGGTAAATCACCCAGGGGGCATATGCCAAGGAACTGCAGGTGCCTCTAGAGCTCAGAGTGGCCCCTGGCCAACAGCCAACAAGAATCACTGTGGCCTGTAGCTGCCAGAAAAGGAATTCTGCCAACAGCCAGCAAGCCAGGAATGAGGTCACAGCTCCACCCGACTCTGTGATGAGACCCTGGAGAGGCCCAGGGAATCTGGCTACACTGTGCATCACTTCTGACCTACAAAACTGAGAGATGATAAGTGAGTGTGGTTTTAAGCTGCTAGGATTTTGATATTTGTTGGGCAGAAATAAAAAATTGATATGGGAGGATTACAGGTTTATCATTTTTAATTGTCACCATAAGCTTATCACAGATCCTTTTTTTGTGTTTCGTTTTTTTTTTTTTTTAAAGAGAAAACATTCTATGAGCAAAATGTGCCAGTTACATCATTCCAGTTAGAAATCTCGGTATTTAAGTTTTTCATATATTCAACTAAGGCTACATTCTGAACACGTGAAATAACATTTCCATGTGCTAATACCTGCCTAGCAAAACAGTGATCCAGGACACTTTATTTTTGTATGGGTTTATAGTTTAAAAAAAAACAAAAACACTTTGATCAAATTTGCTAAAGGTCCATAAAATTGACATACAAACCATCTACTTTCAAATGTATCCAGAAAATTATTAATTACTTATAATGAAAAACAGAATTCTTAATACTCCTAAAAAAATAAAATGTATCTGGTTTTGCTGAAGAGAATTTTTATCTTCCTGTAATTCAGAAATAAAATGCAAGCCACACAAAAAATTATGGGCATATGACAGGATTTTGACATAGGACCTCACTCAACTGAGCTTTCAATGGGTACCTCCCCTCACAGTGACTCAAAAGTCTTCCTTGGGCCGCAACTAACTCCTGAACTCCAGAATATATTTTTAACTACCTGGAAGAGATTTCACCCAATTCATCATATCACCAACAAAACTTAGCACCATCCCCAATAAACCTGGGCATCACACTGTACAAGAGTTATACAAGACAGAAACCTAGTGACTATCCTCAGATAGTACCTTCCCGCCTGCCCCACATATATCCAGCCTTCCCTGCGTTTAGAATCTAGTGACTGTATCAGATGATTGATGGAAAGAAATACTTTTCTTTGCTAAGTGAGTCTTAGAAGTAGAAGTAAAGTAGGGGTGGGGGTGGTTAACTGAAATGAAAGTTGGAAATTCAAGATGGTGGTAAAGCAGGTAAAAGCTACATTCACCTCTTCCCAGAACCACACTAAAATTGCAACTTGTAACTACAGAAAAATCATCCTGAATAACCAACTGAAATCTAGCTAAAGAGAAGGCTTATAACCAAGGATTTAAAGAAGAAGCCACATTGAGACTGGTAGGAAGGGGAGAGACAGAGAAAGGGCTGGCCACTCTCCTAAGGACAGTGGCTGAGGTTCTGGAGGGACATCTCAGCTGCAGGAGGATCCCCCTGAAAAGCATAGGGTCTAAACCCCAAGTTGGACTCCCTAGCCCAGAGCGCCAGAGCTGGAAAAAGCCACCCACATAGTATCTCTCTGTGAAAAGTACTGGGGTTTCTGTCTGGCAGGGAAAGTCTGAAGTCTGCTAGAGACACAGGCACCTCCTTAAAGAGCCAACACACAAAATTTTGTACACAGCCACTCACCCTGGGCTATGGCAGAGAGAGAATGGAGCAGACTAGAGCCATGTGAGGAAAGTCTGGGATTTGTAGCTATAGGGAGAGAGCTAAACAGACGACCACCAGGATCCCTATGCTGCGTCACTCTCCCATAGTGCATATGCCACCTTTTTTGGCTGGAGCACTGCCTTCTGTATGGCATCAGCCTGGAGGAAAGCCTGACCCTCTGGCCTCCAATCCACCCCACCCTGTGGAGCTTACACCCTACCAAGGATTACAGCCAGAGGCTCTTTCAGTGACTAAGCCTAATGGGCAACCTCAGGTGTAGGCAGAAGGAGGCAGATCTCACTAGCGTGCCTTGAGACTTTTTGGTGACCTGCCCCCAAGCTACTCAAGACAAAAGCCGGCCTTGGTGCACAGCATGGTCCTTCCCGCACAACCAGACCCAGCAGACACAGCTATAAACTGGGTTCACTATAGCTGCAAACAGGTAGCCAGGGGACAGTCACAGGCAGCATCTTATGTTGACTTGCACCACAGTCCTTTTCAAGAGGCTCAAAATCAGTACACCCAGTGGCCAGCTTCATAGATCATCAGAGCAGAATCCTACAAGTGTCACAAGCAGCATGGCCCAAAAGGAGATCTCGGCAGGCACCCAGTCCTACAGAGAGGAATTCTGCTTTGCATGGTCAGCACCTGCACATCAGCTCACACAGCATGGTTGGGGCTGAGCCTCACAGCCAGCCAGCCTAAGGGTTGATCCCATGAATGAACTGGCCAACAGCAATCATGGCCCAAATATAACAGGACAGCACACATATCCCACACAAGGAACATTCCTGGAGCACCCAGCTCTGGTGATTATAGAGATTGCACAAGTGGATTCCACAGGACACCTAGTATATATATGGGCAACCCACAAAAACTGGAAATGATATGAGATCTAACAAATACATAGAAGCAAACACAAAGAGGCAGCCAAAATGGGAAAACAAAGAAACAGAACCCAAATGTAAGAACAGGAGAAATCTCCAGGAAAAAGAACTAAATAATATGAAGGCAAGCAATTTATTGGGCATCGAGTTTAAAGTAAATAGTTATAAGGATGCTCAACAGCAAGAAAAAAGGACATTGAAACTATAAAAAAGTATTAATCACAAATAAAGAAAACAATATCTGAAATGAAGAATATACTGGAAGTAATAAACAGTTGGATGAAGCAGAGCATCAAATCAGCAATTTGGAAGACAAGGTAGAAAAAAGACACCCAATCAGAACAGCAAAAAGGAAAAAAGAATTTTAAAAAGTTAGGATACTTTAAAGGTCCTTTGGGACAACATGAAGTAGAACAACATACGTATCACAGGAGTACCAGGAGGAAAAAAAGAGAGCAAGAGATCAAGAACCTATTTGAAATAATAATGGCCAAAAATTTCCCTATCTTGATAAAGGAAAAAGACTTACATGCCCAGAAAGCATAGAGAAACCCAAACAAGAGGGACTCAAAGAGGCCCACACCAAGGCACAACATGATTAAAAATGGCAAAGGTTAAAGACAAGGAGAGAATCTTAAAAGCCACACACAGACACACAAAGACAGTTACCCACAAAGGCACTCCCATAAGACTGTCAGATGATTTCTAAACAGAAACATTTCAGGCCAGAAGAAATTGGCATGAAATATTCAAAGTTATGGAAAGCAAAGTCCTACGACCAAGACTACTTTACCCAGCAAGACTATCATTTAAACTGAAGGAGAAATAAAGAGCTTCCCAGACAAGAAAAAGCTGAGGGAGTCTGTTACCAACAAACCAGATTACAACAAATGTTAAAGGGCCTGCTTTTAGAAGAAGAAGAAGATAAAGAAAAAAAAATATTAAAAAAAATAAAATGGCAATAAATA